AAGAAATTGGAAAAAAAATACATGGAAGCCAATGAAAATGAAAACACAAAGGACTAAATTTGGGGTGCAGCAAAAGCATACATAAGAAGGGATATATAACAAGAACCTCAATATATAAATACATCCAGCAACCATGAAAAATCTCAAATATTCAACCTAAGTTTATACCTAACGGAGCTGGAAAAAGGACAAGAAATAAAGCCTAAAACTATCAGAAGAGGGGAAATAATAAAGATTAGAGTAGAAATATATGATATAGAAAGAAACAAATATTTGAAATTCAATGAATGTGATATACTACACAAAATAAAATAAAAAATAAGAACAATATGATCCTCTCAGTAGATGCAGGAAAAAGTATTTTACCAAGTACAACATCCATTCATGATAAAAACCCACAACAAAGTAGGGATCGAGGGAACATACTCAACATCATAAAGGGCATATATAAAAGACCCAGAGCTAACAACATCCTCAATGGGAAGAAACTGAGAGCTTTACTGCTATGGTCAAGAAGAAGACAGGGATGCCCACTGTCACACTTGTTATGTGCCATAGTACTAGAAGTCCTAGCCTCAGCAATCAGACAGCAGAAAGAAATAAAATATATTCAACTTGCCAAGAGAGTGGTCAAACTTTCACTATTCACCAATGGCATGATACTGTATGTAGAAAACACAAATCTCTTCACCAAAAATTTTCTAGAACTGATACATAAATTCAGGAAAGTCGCAAGATACAAAATCAACATAGAAAAAAGTTTCACTTCTTTACAACAAAAATGAATCAGCAGAAAGAGAAATCAGCATTACACTTACAAAGACATAAAAACTCATAAGATACCTAGGGATAACCTAACCAAATATCTATATTCTAAAAATTTTAGAACACTTCTGAAATAAATTTAAGACAACATAAAGAAATGGAAAAATATTCCATGCTCATGGATTGAAAGAACAAATATTGTTAAAATGTCTTTACTACCCAATTTACTTTACTACTTCAATTCCTCTCAAAATAACACCAGCATTTTTCACAGAGCTACAGCAAACTTAAAAACATACAAAAAATTTGTATGGAACCACAAAATTTCCTGAAGAGTCAAAGCAATTTTGAAAAAGAGAAACAAAGCTGGAGACATCACAGTTACAGACATCAAGTTATATTACAAAGCTGTAATGATCAAGGTAGTATGGTACTGGCAGAAGAACACACAGAGAGATCAGTGAAGCAGAATAGAAAACCCAGAAATGGACCCACAACTATATGGTCAATCTTTGACAAAGCAGGAAAGAATATCCAGTGTAAAAAAAAAATACTGACTCTTTATCAAATGGTTTTGGGAAAACTGGAAAGGAACAAGCAGATAAATGAAACTGGACCACTTTCTTATACCATACACAAAAATGAATTCAAAATGCATCAAAGACTTAAATATGAGACAGGACCATCAAAATCCTAGAGGACAACACAGGCAACAACCTCTTTGACCTCAGCAGTAGCAACTTCCTACCACACACATCGGCAGAGGCAAGGAAAACAAAAGCAAACGTGAACTATTGGGGCTTCATCAAAATAAAAACTTCTGCATAGTGAAGGAAACAAACAACAAAACTAAAAGGCAGCCTATGGAATGGGAGAAGATATTTGCAAATGACACATCTGATAAAGTGTTAGTATCCAAAATCTATAAAGAACTTATCAAACTCAACACTTAAAAAAAACCCAAATAATCCAGTGAGGAAAGTAGCAGAAGACAGGAATATATTTTTTTCCCAAAAACATCCAGATGGCTAACAGACACATGAAAAGATACTCAATATTAATCATCATCAGTGAAATACAAATCAAAACCACAGTGAGATACCACCTGACACCTGCTAGATTGGCTAAAATTCACAATGCAGGAAACAATAGATGATGGACAAAGATGCAGAGAAAGAGGAACCCTCTTACACTGTTGGTGGGTATGCAAACTGGTGTAGCCACTGTGGAAACAATATGGAGATTCCTGAAAAAGTTAAAAATAGAACTACCCTATGACCAGCAATTGTACTACTAGTATTTACCCAAAGGATACAAAAATAGTGATTCAAAGGGGCACATGCATGCCAATGTTTATACTAGCATTTTCAACAATAGCCAAATTATGGAAAGAGCCAAATGCCCATAGACTGATGAACGGATAAAGAAGATGTGTTTTATACATACAATGGAGTATTACTCAACCATCAAAAAGAATGAAATCTTGCCATTTGCCACAATGTGGTTGGAGCTAGAGTGTATTATGCTAAGTGAAATAAGCCAGTCAGAGAGAGACAAATACCATATGATTTCATTCACACATGGAATTTAGTAAATAAAACAGATGAGCACATGGCGGGGGTGAGAATAGAGGGAAACGAACCACAAGAGACACTTCATGATAGAGAACAAACTCAGGATTTATGGAGGGAGGTGTGTGGGAAAAGGGGGAGATGGGTGATGGGCATTAAAAAGGGCACTTGTGGTGATGAACTCTGGCTGTTATTTGTAATTGATAAATCAATAACTTCTACTCCTGAAACCAATATTACTCTATGTTAAAAGATTAGAATTGAAATAAAAAACTTGAAACAAAAAATAAAATACAGGCAAAACTTTAAACTTGAATAAATTCAATTACATCAAAGTTAAGCAGTTTGGATTTTGCTTCACTAAGAATCATTTGGGCAAAGTTAATAGGTGACAGAAAGAATATACATGCTATGTCTATAATGAAAAAATATTTTTTATCTACCATATATTAGAACTACAAATCAAGTGTGGGGCAGCAATCTGAGAATAAAAAGAGTCAAAGAAATAATCTGAAAATTTACAGAAGAAAACCACCCTCCGCCAATACCAAAAAAACCCCAAGTTGGTAGACAATGATATATTACTTTACATCTACTAGACTGACAAAAATTAGAAAATGAGTAAATCTGAACATGGCAAGGAGTGCAGAGAGATGTATATGCATAAGCATTTTACCCCTGGGAGAATAGTTTAAAGCAGCCATTCTTTGGAAAGCAGTATGGCACTACCTGGACAACTAAAATACACCTATAACAGGCAATTCCTCTCCTGAATATTTGTCCCTATGAAAATCTCATACAGGTACATAGTGAACACGAATGAGGATATACATGGCAGTGTTGTTTGGGTTGGGGTTTCCATTGGTGGAAAATGGATAGGTCAGTGCAGGAATGCACACCCAGAAACATAGACAGCATCTATTAGGCACATTGGATCAGATGTAACATGTAAATGAACATTAAACCACAGCACACAGTGGCAAACAGAAAGAAATGATGCACACGGATAGGAAATAGAAACACATACAACAATACACGTTCCACAAGAACACTTTCCAATGAGGAATGCACTTTAAACCCCAACACCTGCTTTTCTGTGGTGGGGGTAGTAGTAGGAATTGAAACAGCAAATGAGAATAAATGGACAAACAGAGAGGGAGGGCCTTTGGTGAATCAGTGTTATTAATATAGCATGAACTGAAGAAAATAACTCGTATCCCATTACACTAATGCCTGACTATCAAATAGGCCAAGAAAAATAAAGAAAGGAAGGAAAGGAGGGAAGTGGGGGGAGAGAGAGAGACAGAGAGAGAGGGAGGGAGAGAGAAAGAGAGAGGGGGAGATTGGAAAAAGTGTAAAAGGGGGAGTGGCAGAAGAAGCTGAAAACAGATATTTGAATTTTTGAATCTCTGCAGAGATTTTTACATCATATTGTTTGAATCTCTGCAGAACTGTGCCATGATTGAAAACCTGTCAGCCCTCCTGAATCTGTGATTCCTCCTGCAGAAGCAGTATCTTTTATCTGGGAAAGCAAAAGGATGAAAGAAACCTTCCAGAGCCTTATAACAAGTTTTCATGAATTTGAACTCATTGAGTTACCAGCTGAGGTAACATGCAGGCACACGTGGTCGTGGTCTTCCCTGTGCAACACTGGAGGACTAAAACCACCAATATTAAGATAATGAGATGACCAGATAAGTTGCACCCCACCTGCACCTGCTAGCAAGGCTTCTGCACCCAAAAATGATCTTGCTCACCAGCTGCTGCTGCTTAGCATGGGTGATTGGATGGTCTTAGGAAGGAAGGCTAGGATGGGAATTGATGAGGGGCCAGTGGGTTTTCTCATTTCAGAAGTTGATTGGAACCTTTCTGGGACTTACGATTTTTAGTTGGGTAAGTTTTTTTTTTAGAACATTGCCTGGATATATCTGAACCATGACCTTTATAGAGGGTATGTTTTAATCTTATACCTTTAATCTTAATCTTTATATGAATCATGTAAATTAAGTGTAAGAAATCTAAAGCAGGCAATTACACCCAAATATCCTGAGACAAATGTCCTCTTTAATTAGAATTGAGAGAAGTAGTCATCAGAAAAATGTGTCACATCCTACATACAGTGAAAGGCCCAACTTTAGGCATCATCCTTCCCTTCCTGTCTCCATGTGGGTCATAGGGCTTTCCTTAGGGATTTATAATGAACACTATTTCCTTAGGTGGACATCATGTGCACAGTAGGAAACATGGGGGAGCGGGGAAAAATGGAAAGTGACTCCTTCAGTGAAATTCCTTTTTTTTCTTTTTGTTTATATTACCTGAAGTCCTAGGAGTGGGCTTGTGGAAGGAAATCTAGAGGCAGACATAGAAGGTAATTTAAAAGTCCCATATATGAAGCAGAAGAAAGCACAGAAGAGTCAAAGAATCAATTAGTGCGGCAAACGCCCACAGAGTTTCAAATGTAGCATCTCCTTAAAAGGAAAAATAAAGAAAATGTTTGTTTTCTTTTACTCATACTGCATTTTTAATATATTAAAAATTCCATTCTGACCAAATTACCATTATACATGTTATAATAACAAACTCTTATTAAAATACTGATGGCAATTCTATCTGCATTTTGGAGACATTTGTACATCATTGAAAACAAAAATAATTGTTTTACAGGAACCATCTGGTTTCAGCAGATATTAAACTTGATTTATTTTGATGAACATCGAAAAAACACTGGGAATCTGGAGACGGTTTTGCGAGTTCCCTATTTTGAGTACCCCAATGAAAACACGGATTTTGTTAAAAGACCATCTCCTCGTCTCTTCACTACCCACCTCCCATACTATTTGGTTCCAAGTGGCCTGAAGAACAAAAAAGCCAAAGTAAGAAAGAGACTATGGCTGTTGAAAGATAACTGCTCTTTTTCTTTATTTCATTTCCTTTCATTACACTGACACTGCATTCATCAAGCTGAAGCAAATGTGGCATTTGACATGCTTTTATTTTCAATAGCCATTTTGTTCTTATCGTGGAGAATCTGATTTTTATCTTGTACCCTTTTCCTGATCACATATGTAATACAGCCATTAAAAATGAAAGAGTGTATATCTGTGCATTTAATTAACTTTATAATGTAAATTATAATATAATACACATTTTAGATTATATATCCTTTCATTTTTTTTTTATTTTTTTTAACGTTTATTTATTTTTGAGACAGAGAGAGATAGAGCATGAATGGGGGAGGGGCAGAGAGAGAGAGAGACACAGAATCGGAAGCAGGCTCCAGGCTCTGAGCCATCAGCCCAGAGCCCGAGGCAGGGCTTGAACTCACGGACTCACAGACCGTGAGATCGTGACCTGAGCTGAAGTCGGACGCTTAACCGACTGAGCCACCCAGGCGCCCCTCCTTTCATTTTTTTAATTAGCTTACTTACTAGGTGCGCTTACAATGCTAGCAATTCCTTCACTGCTCTCAGTGTCCTCACCACTACCTTTTCATACTTCCACCTATTTTGGTTGGGTACCATGGATAGAGGTGTGTCTGGCGGAGTAATTGAGAGCCACAGGCCAATCATGGAGGGAGACGCAATGTAGAGAAGGGGAAACCCAAAATACAAAGAACACTGAATGTCTACAAGACATAGTTAGGAAACTATAAAGTTAAAAGAAAAAACATACTTCACCCAATTGGAAGGTATTCGGGTAAAAATATGATGTAATGAAAGCAACAGAAATAATGAAGACTTCCTTTCTTTGCAGATTATTTATGTATACAGAAACCCTAAGGACGTTATGTGCTCATATTTTCACTTTTCAAAGAAGATGCCATTACCTGCTACAAGTACCATTGAGGAATTCATGAAACTATTTCTAGAAGGAAAAGGTAAATAAACTTATATAAAGCAAGTAATAAGTTTGCTGTCCTGCAGTGAGGTTTAAGCTTAGTGAATATGACAGAGGGTAAAAAAGAAGCTGAAGTAGAGCTGAATGAGGGTGAGTAATCAATGTATTAAGCCATTGGTAGGGTTGTCCTAGATGACCATGCCCTGCCATTGTTACAAATTATGCTGCCCCTGGCCTCTCTCAGTGGACTGTCAAGATTACAAAGTCGTATCACAAAGGAATATTTACATTTAGCTATGAAAACAGTGGTTCATAAGCACAGGGGTTTCTGTTCTAGCTCAGTGAGAAGAATCTCAGTTCAGATCACAGGTTTGGAGCTTTGCACTGCATATTGCAAATGGCTGCTGCCAGGAGCTTCTATTTGATAAAGTTCTATTCCATATTTCTTTCTTTTTTATTAAATTTTTATATATTTATTTATCTGTAAATGTTTATTTTTGAGAGTGAGAGAGAAAGGAAGTGCACGCTAGTGGGGGAGGGCCAGAGAGAGGGAGACAGAGGATCTGAAGTCTGCTCTGTGCTAACAGCAGAGAGCCCTATGCGGGGCTCCAACTCAAAAACCATGAGATCATGACCTGAACCAAAGTCAGATGCTTAACCAACTGAGCCACTCAGGCACCACTTTTATTTATTTTTAAAGTAATCTCTACACCCAACATGGGACTCCAACTCACAACCCTGAAATCAAGAGTTGTATACTCTATCCACTAAGCAAGCCAGGACCCCACCCCTGCACTTCCTTTTGTGAGGAGGCACCACTGTAGCTGGTTGAGCAGGAGCCAGTCCTCTGAAGTAGAGGTGATGATCTGGAACAGGAGAGCTATGTTTAGTGTCAAATATACTGTGCAGAGCAGAAGTGACTCCTCAGGGAGCGCACATGTTCCATGTAGCCAGGAAAAAGTTCTATGTGCTTGGGAAGACCAGGAGGAGTGAGAAAGAGAGGATTCTTTCCTCCATTTTCCTCCTTGGTTTTTCTAACCACATGCTATGTTGATTTTGTGTCTATTTTAAGAGACTAATTTCTCCTCGAGTTCATGTAATTGTTTTCTGGTAGAAGCTTGATGGTTCTCCTATAACCAGGTGCTAGGGGAAATCAGCATCTCCTAAGACTATAACTCATTTTCTAAAGACTCCTGCATCTCCTAAGACTATAACTCATTTTCAGTGTGTTCAACACATTTGCTTAATGACTATCTATTCTTCTCGCAGTGCTGGGAAGCCTTTGGTTTGACCACATCAAAGGTTGGCATGAGCACAAAAGCCTCTTCAACATCGAGTTCATGATGTATGAAGAGTTTAAAAAGGTGAGAAAAGTGACATTAGTGACTTCACAGAATCTGTAAGGCAGCCTGGCTGAACGTATTGATTGCTCATGCCCAGAACACCCAAAGGGCGATATCAAATTTGAGATCCCAGACGAAGTGGACCAGGAGACATTTTTCCAGTATCACTTCTGTACTTTGTTTGCCAGGTTTTCATTTACAGATAATACTGGAAGTTTCTTTTCAAAAATCGTCTGTGTGTGAGGAATTATCTGTGTATGTATATGATATGCATACATTTGATTATTTAGAGTCAGACTATTGGTCTCTCTTTCATGGATTGTGAAATCTATTTTCTGCACTATTCATTCTAATAACATTCTAAATGTTATGTTCATCATTCTTGGGTGCATCTCTTGGGAAACTTCAATCTTGTCTGCATTGTGTATGATTAAAAATTCCCAGAAAAATTAAATGAAAATGCCTCTATATGATTAGACATAATTCAGCACCCAGTACAGTCAACTCTAATTGGCTTAAAATGTAGGAACTTCTGTTGTTTATTGACTGAATCCCAGAGGAAGGCTACCCTTATGCTGAGTGTTACCGCTAAGCAATCAAGAATGTCCCAGCATTATCTGTCTTTCTTTTGTATCGTATTTGGTGTGGCAAGGATGTCTCCCGTCATGGTAGCAAGGCAGTTGTAGTTGTGTCCTCAGATGATAACATGTAAGGCAGAAAGAGAGGGAACTGGGATAAAGGGGCCTTCTTGCCCTGCTTTATTTCGACTTTTTCTCTAGGAGGAAAATCATAGTAACTTCTCTTTGACTTCCTCTTTCTTTTTTAAAAAAGTTTATTTTGAGAAAGAGAGTAAGAGAGCATAAACAGTGCAGGGGCATAGAGAGAGGGAGGGAGGGAAAGATAGAGAGAATCCCAAGCAGGCTCAGATCAGTCAGTGTAGAGCCGGAGGCAGGGCTCAATTCCATGACCCATGAGATCATGACTTGAGCTGAAATCAAGAGTCAGGCACATAACCAACTGAGCCACCCAGGAGCCCCTTGACTTCCTCCTTCTGTTTCAATGCCAAAATTGGGTCATATGACCAATGAGAATAATCTCTTGTAGAGACAATAGAATTGCTTTGAGGATCATGGATCAATTAGAATCATTACTGAATCAGGACTGGGCACTAATGCCAGAACATCACCAGGTGAACTCTTAGCAGGGAAGAAGAGAAAGAGCTGAGAGGCAAGTTCTCCTAAGGACGTCTTCATCCTGAGTATTTGTCACTAGTCTGTTACACCTGCCCCAGAGCATGATACTAAGCCTAGACTTTCTTGTTGAGTCCATATCACCTACCAAATAGAGATTCAGTGTCTGGCTCACCTTGAAACCTTCCTCACGATATGATCCCACTATTGCTTCCACCCTCATCTCCCATATTCTCATCCAAAGCCAGTTTCCACTAGCTCTACGGAAATTGAACTTCTAACTGTCCTGTGACCTGTTATCTCACAACTTCTACACAACCACAATGTTGCAGATATTCTTTCATTTCTCTAGACTCCATATCTTTAGTTTGTCTACCTAGAAAATTCCCATTTTTGCTTTAATTTCCAGAACAAATTTCTTGTCTTTATTGAAATATTCTGAGTTCTGTTACACAATTAGTCTTTCCCAAAGGTCCTTGTACTGAATTCCTAGGATTCATCCCCAGTTGTGTCTCTGTTCACTCGCACCATCACACAGGGCAGTGTCTGTCATTTAGTAGCTACTCCCCAAATGCTTGCCGGTAACACAGATAAAACAAAATATGAGTGTTCTCAAAATGAACCCAAATGTGCTCTCAAACAGTGGACAAGTGATGGATTAATTTATCAAGAAGGAATAAGCAAGTCACATCTCAAGGAACAGCTCCACTTTCTAAGCAACCTAAGCACCTACGATGTTCACTCCCATAATGATATTTATCTATGACACTTGTATAAGTCTTCTTTGTGATAACATGCATAATTTATCATACTGTGATTTATTTCAGGATCTCAGAGGTTCTATGTTAAAAGTCTGCAAATTTCTGGGGAAAGAATTAAGTGATGAGGACATGGATGCTGTGGTGAGCCAGGCCATGTTTGAGAACATGAAGTTAGACCCACGGGCAAATTATGACAATATACTAAAGGACCAATTTGGGATACAAGAAAAAGGTCATTTCCTTCGCAAAGGTGAGGTTGAACAGTGAATGTCTGTATTGTACTGTGTCACAAATGAACCAAGTGTAGCTTCTAAGCTTCCTGTCTCACTTTTCTAACATGGACCCTTATGGCCCAGTTCCCGTCACTAGACAAATGATTTTCCATGATTTCTTCTTGTTGCTCTTCAAGAGACTATATAATGTTGTAAATGAATGTATCTGATGAATAGCCTAAAATCAAAAGGCCTTCTCCATGGCCCCTGGAAATCTACCAATGCCAGTACAATGTCTGCCACAAAATGGTTGTTCATTTACTGTTAGACTGTTTCCTTCCATTAGCATGGGATTGGCACATGATGATGAGGCAATGCTGGGGCTGTTGGCCAACAATGACTGCCCTTCCATTTCTGTGATTTATCCCTGAGTCTCCCCAGGGCTGAATTAACAACATGCATTCACTGATCTTTTGTTATTGCACAGGACTATCATGTGTCCTCTAGTAAGCCTCATAAAAATGTGTAAGTTTCTCTAATTTATTATAATATCTCATACCTCTGATGAGTGAGTTTTTAAGTGAATGACTCCTTCATGTAACTGATAAATTTCACCATGTTTTAATATTTTTGTTACTTGTATAATCATTCTAAGTTATATTTATGATCTTCTATCTTAGTACATGGAACATCTATAATACAGAACTATAGACATAAATTTTGCACTTAATCATAGGGTTCCATGCCTCTTTTTCAAGTAGTAATAAATATTGGCTTTGATTTCTCTCAGTATTTCCGTCACCTGATCTCTTCATATATTTTACCTGCTCAATTAAAAAATGTGAAGCACTGGTAACTCGGAGCCAACCTAAAGTGGAGACATTCCCTTCCTGTTATGCTCAGAACACCCTGTCTTGTAGTAGACCACATCCCTTCTCAACTGCCATAATCATTGCACTTGAAGTTTGTTTTCCCTTGAAAAAATAAAATTTTCTGTGTTTATACATCTTTAACTTACCTGAAAATGAGAGACTCAAATAGCTAAGAAGACAAGGAGGAGGAGCCAATTTTCCTTGTGGAAGTAAAGCACATTCCCATATGTTTCTTCTGCATAGACATGTACTTTTCTCTTACATTTTATCTAAAGGAACATCATTTGCACTAACTTTACCACTCCTACATGGTTTTCCTTTGTGTTTTCAGTTTTGTTAGTATTTCAGTTTGTTTCAGTCATCTGTTTATTTCAGAGTGCTTTTACAATCAGTGTTGCTTGTCTTGCCTTTCCTTCTATCACCACATTTGTCATCACATCTCTGTGTCTATAACTTTTTAAAATATAATTTATTATCAAGTCAGCTAACATACATTGTATACAGTGTACTTTTTGTTTCGGTGATAGATTCCCGTGATTCTTCGCTTACATACAACACCCAGTGTTCATTCCAACAGGTGAGATGCCCATCACCTATTTTCCCCTCTCCCCTGCGCCCCACCGCCCACCCATCAACCCTCACCTTTGTCTCTGTATTTAAGAGTCTCTTATGGGGGCGCCTGGGTGGCTCAGTCAGTTAAGCGGCCGACTTCGGCTCAGGTCACCATCTCGCTGTCCGTGGGTTCGAGCCCCGCATCAGGCTCTGGACTGATGGCTCAGAGCGCGGAGCCTGCTTCTGATTCTGTGTCTCCCTCTCTCTCTGCCCCTCCCCCGTTCATGCTCTGTTTCTCTCTGTCTCAAAAATAAATAAAAGTTAAAAAAAAATAAAAAAAAAAAAGAGTCTCTTATGGGTTTGCCTCCCTCTGTGTTTGAAGTTATTTTTTCCCATTGCCTTCCCCCATGGTCTTCTGTTAAGTTTCTCTCAAGTTCCACATATGAGTGAAAACATATTATATGTCTTTCTCTGACTGACTTATTTCACTTAGCATAATGCCCTCCAGTTCCATCCACGTTGTTACAAATGACCAGATTTCATTCTTTCTCATTGCCAAGTAGTATTCCATTGTATATATAAACCACATCTTCTTTATCCATTCATCAGTTGATGGACATTTTGGCTCTTTCCATAATTTGGCTATTGTTGAAAACATTGACTCTTTGAAACAGCATACTTATATCCCTTGGATAAATACCTAGTAGTGCTATTGCTGGGTCATAGGGTAGTTCTATTTTTAATTCTTTGAGCAACCTCAACACTGTTTTCCAGAGCGACTGCACCAGTTTGCATTCCCACCAACAGTGCAAGTGGGTTCCTGTTTCTCCACATCCCCACCAATATATGTTGTTTCCTGAATTAATTTTAGCCACTCTGACTGGTGTGAGGTGGTATCTCAATGTGGTTTGATTTGTATTTCCCTGATGATGAGTGACATGGAGCATCTTTTCATGTGTCTGTTGGCCATCTAGATGTATGTATTTTTTGAATAGACACTGGAAAAGTGTCTATTCACGTCTTCTGCCCATTTCTTCACTGGATTAGTTGTTTTTCAGGTTTTGAGTTTGCTAAGTTCTTTATAGACTTTGGATACTAACCCTTTATTCAGATATGTCATTTGCAAATATCTTCTTCCATTCTGTCAGATGCCTTTTAGTTTTGTTTTGTTGATTGTTTCCTTTGCAGTGCAGAAGCTTTTTATCTTGATGAGGTCCCAATAGTTCATTTTTGCTTTTATTTCTCTTGCCTTTGGAGACGTGTCAAACAAGAAATAGCTGCAGGTGAGGTCAAAGAGGTTGTTGCCTGTTTTCTCCTCTAGGGTTTTGATGGTTTTCCTGTCTCACATTCAGGTCTTTCATCCATTTGGAGTTTATTTTTGAGCATGGTGTAAGAAAGCGGTCCAGTTCATTCTTTGGCATGTTGCTGTCCAGTTCTCCCAGCACCATTTGCTAAAGAAACTATCTTTTTTCCATTGGATACACTTTCCTGCTTTGTTAAGCATTAGTTGGCCATACATTTGTGGGTCCAATTCTGGGTTCTCTATTCTATTCCATTGATCTACGTGTCTGTTTTTGTGCCAGTACCATACTGTCCTATTGATTACAGCTTTGTTGTAGAGTCAGGGGTTTTGATGCTTCTTGCTTTGGTTTTCTTTTTCAACATTGCTTTGGCTATTCTGGGTCTTTTGTGGGTCCATATAAATTTTAGGATTGTTTGTTCTAGATTTCAGAAAAATGCCAGTGCAATTTTGATTGGGATTGCATTGAATGTGTAGATTGTTTTGGGTAGTGTTGACATTTTAACAATATTTGTTTTTCTAATCCATAAGCAAGTCATGTTTTTCCATTTCTTTGTGTCTTCTTCAATTTCTTTCATAAGTTTTCTATAGTTTTCATCATACAGCTCTTTTACATCTTTGGTTAGGTTTACTCCTAGATATTTTATGGTTCTCAGTGCAGTTGTAAATGGGATCAATTTCTTGATTTCTCTTTCTGTTACTTGTTTATTGGTGTATAAAAATGCAACCAATTAATATACATTGATTTTGTATCCTGCGACTTTGCTGAATTCATGTATCAGTTCTAGCAACTTTTTGGTGGAGTCTTTCGTGTTTTCCATGTACAGTATCATATCGTCCGTAAAAAGTGAAAGTTTGACTTCTTTGCCAATTTTGATGCCTTTTATTTCATTTTGTTGTCTGATTGCTGAGGCTAGGACTTCCAACACTATGTTAAACAACAGTGGTGAGAGTGGACAGCCCTGTCATGTTCCTGATCTCAGGGGGAAATTAACTAACTTTGCTAGTTAAGGGTCTGTTCAAATTTTCTATATCTTCCCATTTGAGTATTGGTAGTGTGTGGGTGTCTAGAAAATTGTCCATTTCTTCCAGGTTGTCCAGTTTTTTGGCATATAATTTTTCATAGTATTCTCTAATTGTTTTATTTCTATGGTGTTGGTTGTGATCTCTCTTCTTTCATCCATGATTTTATCTATTTGGGTTCTCTCTCTTTTCTAATTAGAAGTCTGGCTAGGCGGTTATCAATTTTGTTCATTTTTTCAAAAACAAACAGCTCTTAGATTCATTGATCTGTTCTATTCCTTTTTTGGATTCTATGCTTTTTATTTCTGCTCTAATCTTTATTATTTCTCTTCTTATGCTGGTTTTGGCGTTTCTTTGCTCTTCTGCTTGTAGTTCCTTTAAGTGTGCAATTAGGTTATGTATTTAGGACCTTTCTTGCTTCTTGAGATAGACCTGGGTTGCAATGTATTTTCCCCTTAGGACTGCCTTTGCTGCATCCCAAAGGGTTTGGACTCTCATGTTTTCATTTTAATTTGCTTCCATATATTTTTTAATTTCTTCTCTAATTGCCTGGTTGATCCATTCATTCTTTAGTAGGATGTTCTTTAACCTCCATGCATTTGGAGCTTTCTAAATTTTTTTGTGGTTGATTTCAAGTTTAATAGCATTGGGATCTGAAAATATGCATGGTATGATCTCAATTCTTATGTATTTATTGAGGGCTCTTTTGTGACCCAGTATGTGATCTATCTTGAAGAACATTCCATGTGCACTCGGAAAGAATGTGTATATTGCTGCTTTTGGATGAAAAGTTCTGAATATATCTGTCAAGTCCATCCAGTCCAGTGTGTCATTCAAGGCAATTGTATCTTTATTGATTTTCTGCCTAGATGATCTGTCTATTGTTGTAAGTGGAGTGTTAAAGTCCTCTGCAATTACCGTATTCTTACCAATAAGATTGCTTTTGTTTGGTGTTAATTAATTTATGTATTTGGGTGTATCAAGTTGGGGGCATAAACATTTACAATTGTTAGCTCTTCTTGATGGATAGACACCATAATTATGATATAATGTCCTTCTTCAACTCACGTTACAACCTTTAGTTTAAAATCTAGTTTGTCTGATGTAAGTATGGCTACTCCATCTTTCTCTGGACTTCCAGTAGCATGATAGATGGTTCTCTAACCCCTCACTTTCAATCTGAAAGTGTCCTCAGTTCTAAAATGAGTCTCTTGTAGGTGACATACAGATGGATCTTGGGTTTTTTGTCCATTCTGATACCTTATGTCTTCTGAGTGGAGCATTTAGTCCATTTTCATTCAGACTTATTATTGAAAGATATGGATTTAGTGTCATTGTGTTGTCGGTAGGTTTCATGCTTGTGGTGATGTCTCTGGTCCTTTGTAGTCTTCACAGCATTTCACTCACAGAGTCCCCCTTAGGATTTCTTGCAGGGCTGGTTTAGTTCATGAGTTCCTTCAGTTTTTGTTTGTATGGGAAAGGCTTTATCGCATAAAAATTCTTGACTGCATACTTTTTGTATTAAGCACATTGAATATTTCCTGCCACTCCCTTCTGGCCTGCCAAGTTTCAGTGGTTAGGTCTGCTACTATCCTTATGTTTCTACCCTTGTAGGTGAAGGCCCATTTGTCCCTAGCTGCTTTCAGAATTCTCTCTTTATCTTTGTATTTTGCCAGTTTCACTATGATATGCCTTGCAGAAAACCAATTCTTGTTAAATCTGAAGGGAGTTCTGTGCTTCCTGAATTTGGATGTCTGCCTCCTTACCCAAATGAGGGAAGTTCACAACTATAATTTGTTCAAGTAAACCTTCTGCCCCTTTCTCTCTCTTTTCCTCTTCCAGAACTCTTATGATATGGATATTATTTTATGTTTCATTGAATCCCTTAGTTCTCTAATTCTCCCTTGTCGTCTAGTATTTTCTTATCTCTCTTTCCCCAGCTTCATTGTTTCCCATAATTTTATCTTCTATTTCACTTAATCTCCCCTCTACTTCCTCCCTCCTTGATTTCACTGCATCTAATTTATTTTGCACTTCATTTACAGCATTTCTTAATTCATCATGACTATTCCTTAGTTCTTTGATCTCTGCAGCAATAGATTCTCTGCTGTCTTTTATGCTTTTTACAAGTCCAGCAATAATCTTATGACTATTATTCTAAATTCTTGCTCAGATATATTGTTTGCATCCATTTAGCAATTCTCTAGTGTCATTTCTTCCTGGAATTTCTTTTGAGGAGAATTCTTCTGTTTTGTCATTTTGGCTAGTTTTCTGTCCCATATGTGTTTTAATAGTATGTCCTGCACTTGTGAGCACTTTTATATTAAAAAGGGGTCATACACTGTCCAGGGCCTGGCCCTTCAGGAGGTTTTTTTGGAGTATGTTTCTTGCTCTCTGTTGTGACTTTGGTTGCTTTATCTCCCTACTTGTAGTGATGTTTTGGACCCTCCACCAGGTGTGCTTTGATGTGTTCATTGAAGTAACTCTGGAAAAAATTTTAAAAAGGGTGGAGGTGGTGGAAGAAACCTTATCCCATACAAAGAGAGAAATAACAGGGGTGGGGAAAAAGGAAAGGAAAAAAAAAAAATTGACCGGGCAGAGAATCAGAGAAACTATACAGCCTAACCCAGAGAGAGAGACAGAGAGAGAGGAAAATAATGAAGAAGGAGATACAGAAGATGTATAAAAAGAATAGATTAAAAATGTCTGCATGAGGCATCCGGGTGGCTCAGTCAGTTAAGCATCCTACAATGGCTCCGGTCATGATCTCGGGGTTTTTGGTTTTGAGCCCCATGTCGAGCTCTGTGCCGACAGCTCAGAGCCGGGAGCCTGCCTCAGATTCTGTGTCTCCCTCCCTCTTTGCCCCTCCCCTGCTTGTGCTCTGTCTCTCAATAAATAAATGTTAAAAATTTTTAAAAAGAATTTCTGATTAAACAAACCAACAACCAGAATAACCAGAATAGACAAGGGAAGGAATAAGAGAAAGAAAAGGAATAAGAAAAAAAATTATACACACACACACACACACACACACACACACACACTTAAAATAAGAATTGACTAAGAACCGATTCAGAAAATGCAAAAATGCTGGACCTATATCTGCCAGTGCCTTGGGGCTGGTGGCTGTGCTGGTCTGGAGGAGGGGCGGTATGATTCCCTCCGGTGTCAGTCTTGCTCCAGTAGATACATAGTTACCAGGTGTAGAGGAGCATGGTTTCCTATAGGCAGGTCCTGCCTCCACTGTGGGCTCCTTGTCCCTTTCCTGCAGCCCCACCTTGTTGGTGATGGGGAGATAAATGGGATACCCCAGCCTCTCCCCACCAGACTGGGAGTCCCAAACCACTCTTTTCAGGCTATCCTCACAGTGCCCTGCCGGTGCAAGTGGGTCAGTTCGTTCAATGTCTTAAAGGATCCTTCTCTGCACAGCCTGGTTCCGGGGAAGTGCCACTCCGTCAAGCCAGCCAACAAAGGGCTTCTGAGTCCTCACATTGCCACATGGGCACAAGCCACTGGTTTGCCCTGCTCCACAGTCTCCTGTGCCTCCCAGGTGCTAGACTGGGATTCAAACCCCCATGTCTTAAAGGATCTCACTTCCTGCGTCCCGGTCCCAGGGTAGGGTCACTCCACCAGCCAGCTGACAAAGGGCCTCTGACCAGCAGGCACCTGCAGGCTCTTTTGTCCTTGGAGGCTATATGACTTCTTCCCACAGCACTATAGGGAGAGGATAGCTCTCTCCGACTGCACCTGTCAGCTTGAGAGCTGGGGCTGGCTCCACTTCTCCTCAGGTGCATGAGCAGGACAGCAGGCTCCAGTCCAGACAAAGCTCCGCAACCCTAGAATGAGGTAGAAATTGGTTCTTTTTCCTTTTTTTCCATTCCCCTGTCTGTGGTTTTGGGGTTTTTTAAATATTTTTTTAATGTTTATTTTTGAAGGAGAGAGAGACAGAGTGTGAGTGGAGGAAGGGCAGAGAGAGAGAGAGACACAGAATTAGAAGCAGGCTCCAGGCTCTGAGCTGTCAGCACAGAGACCGACACGGGGCTCGAATTCACAACAGCGAGATCATGACCTGAGCCGAAGTCAGACGCTTAACCAACTGAGCCACCCAGGGGCCCCCCGGTCTGTGGTTTTTCTCTTGTCCAAATTCATTCCTACACTTCCACAGTTTCTCTTTCTCTTCCTTTTGTCTCTCCACTGAAGGGGATCCCTCCCTCTGTTCCTACGCACCCCCCCCCCCATTTTATCTCTCCCAATTTGCAATCACACACCTGTGGCCTGCCAAGTTGTCCCCGTGGGCCTCTGGAGATGCTTCTGTCACTCTGTAGCCTGGATTCCTGGGATTCCCAGTCTTCTGGCCTCAATACTGCCATGTTTGAGGGAGGAGGGAACTTCGGGTCCCCCTACTTCTCTGCCATCTTGACTCCTCCTGTGTCTATAAGTGTAATGTAAAACTGTAATAAACCTTCTGTGGGTACAGATGGAAGAGTTGCAGGTGAGCCATTCAAAACTGCAAGAACTTGGGCTATATTTTAAAAATTCTCTGAGCATCCATGTCCTTATCAGTAAATGTTTGCCCAGGGACATCTGATTTTTGAAACTTTTAAAGGACTCCTGTGAACTCTAATAGCCCATGCTAGCCTGGAACAAAATAGTAAAGTAGCTGCATGAGTTTCTTCCTTTTCCAGATGGCTGACAGCTAAGGAGTTGGGCTAGTTATCTTAAATCACATCATATTTACTGTGATGAGTTTGTGTGCCCTCTTGCCATCAGGTGGAAGAGGAAGGGCATGCTCATGTGCAGAAGCAACTGGGGCCTTAGCGGGGAGAAAAATGGAAGTGCAAACAATGGTGTTTCTCCCAACACTAGGGGATCATGCCCCCTCATCCCAGAGTCTTCGTTGAAACAATTTGTTTGCTTTTCCTCCAGGTACCATTGGAGACTGGAAAAATTACATGACTGTTGAGCAGAATGAAAGGTTTGACAAGATTTTCCAAAAGAATATGAAAGATTTTCCCTTGAAGTTCATCTGGGATATGAATGAGGAATAGAATTCTAGGTGGTGCACAACTATTTTCAGAAATCACCTTCAGAAGGAAATATATTGAACTTTACATTTTCATCTTTGACTGTCATGGGCTTATTACTGAAAACTCTCAATGATTAATAAATATTAATATGTTGTCTTTACATCATTTGCCATCTGTGGCCTGTTTTCCATTTGCTGAATTCCTCAGTTTGTGATCAGGAGAGGATTCCTCTCTTTGTTTTGGTGTATAATTATGGAGTTGATTTTATTCTACATTCAGCAATTCCAAAGCTCTTGAGCAACAAAGGAGGTCTTAATGTATGATTGATTTGAAATCATAAAATAGAAGCCTTGTCACTTATAAAAAAACTATTTATGGTTTTTCTTCATATTTTAGAATTTAATTTTTAGGTGATCAGATGAGTCAACATTTCATTTTATGGTTTCTATGTTTTGTTTCTAACAGAGTGTTCCTGTCACAAGTATTTTCATGTATTCATAAATCCTATCTTTATTTAAATCTGAATATTTATCTTGTGTTGTAAGACACCTATTTTTTTCTAACAGAAAAAAAAAATTGGCCCCAAATCATTTAATGAATAGCCATCATTTTCCTACTGATTAAAAGAGACATTATCTTGTTCTTTTTTTTTTTTTTTTTTTTTAACGTTTATTTATTTTTGAGACAGAGAGAGAGACAGAGCATGAACGGGGGAGGGGCAGAGAGAGAGGGAGACACAGAATTGGAAGCAGGCTCCAGGCTCTGAGCCATCAGCCCAGAGCCCGACGTGGGGCTCGAACTCACGGACCGCGAGATCGTGACCTGAGCTGAAGTCGGACGCTTAACCGACTGAGCCACCCAGGCACCCCAGACATTATCTTCTTCTAAAGAATTTTCTGCCCATGAGTTGATTTACATAAAATGAGGTATTTTCTGTTGATATACTTTTCTTTTTCATAACCATGCCATAATTTCTAACATAAACTGTCATGATGAGCTTTGTTAGAGTTTTGTTAAGTATTGCTTTACTCTTAAAAAAATCATTTGAAAACTGACATCGACACTAATTGAGTCTTCCCATTCAGAGATTTTATACACTCACCATTTATTTGTGGTTTTTTTTCTGGTCATTTAGTGAAGGTACATGGTCCTTAAATAAGCCTTGCTCATTTCTTATAAAGTTTATCCTAATCAGGTATAGATGGTATTTGTAGCTATTGGGAGGAGGATTTTTTTTCTTTTTTCTTTTTAGAGAAAGAGAGAGCAAGAGTAGGGGAGAGGGGTGGGGGTGGGGCAAGAGAGGGAGAGGGAGGGAGAGAGAGGGGAGAGGGAGAGAGAGAGACAGAGAGAGAGAATCTTAAGCAGGCTCCATGCTCAGCAGGGAGCCTGATGCAGAGCTCAATCTCACAAATCTGGAATCATGACCTGAGCCAAAATCAAGAGTCAGATTTTCAATGGACTGAGCCACCCAGCTGCCCCAGGGAAACTCTTTAAATTTTGCACCAGATGTAGCTGTCTTAATCACCTTATCATAGTCCTTAGGAGTTCCATAATGCTTTCAGAGTTTCTTGGCCTCCATTCCCCAAAACATTAGGTATTTGCCATCTGGAGCTTTTAACAATGCTTCCAGAGTCTGCATTACTTCAAAATTTTGTGCCACCAATCATGCCTTAAGAAAAAAGTGTATAAATGCTGATGTAAGGCAAATCCAATTAAAAGGTTACATGAACATTTCCTAGTTAAGGGGAAACCAGCAACAGTAATCAATAATATCTCTTATGAATGACAAGGATGAGTTCTTGATTGTACTGTCACAAACTCCAAAGATATATGTACCAAGAAGCAAAAGGATGCATTCCAGGAGGAAAGAGATCGTGGACTTTCAATATCTATGTGCTAGCACATTATTTGTGTTATGGAGGTGCAGACAGGAAGTAGGTAAACTACTTCAAGTAGCTTACCGTATTTGTCTTTCAGAGAATATACATGTTAAGCAGCAAAGATAGGCATTTTATAATGATATATCAAAATGAGTCACACTTCTAGTAGGAAGTGACTTCAGGGAGACCAATGAGTTCTAAAGTGATGGGAAAAGTTTTTCATAAATGACACAAGGAGTACAAGTTCATATAAATACATGCATGGGTATAATGTCAGCTTGTTTGCTGCTCTAGGACCTGTGTCAAGGTAACAGACAGAATACTGCCAAAAAGGTATGCTGTGAAGTTTATAGGCTTTTGTTCAAGTCATGTTAGTTGGGCAAGCCACTTGGAAAGAAAAGGTAAGGGGGGGGCTTCTTTGCATAAATGAAGGTGCTCAGGGGACAAGCAGAATGAAGCCATATTATTGCCCCAAGCAGACAATTAGAGACCTGGAAATTACTACACTGTGAGCTACTTCCACATGCTCAAGATATTAATCAACAGGTTATTGGTTGGACCATACCAGTTCAAACATGTCTAAATGTGATGTAATCAGTAAAATAAAATGAATTACACTCCAAATTGGTGGTATCTTTAATAGGTTGATTCTTATGGAACTCAGACTGTCTAGATAGTATGGATCTGGAATGTTTTCAGATGTTCTAGACAGCTGTACTTTTTGGATAATGTTTTCTAAAAGAACTTCTTGATACAATTTGGATGGACCACCTTCAGCAACAGCTGCACAAATGTTGCCTGCATTTACATCTGTAGCAAGCCAAATTGCTTCAAGTTAAAACAATTCTTTTTTTTTCAAGTTTAAAAATTTTTTGATTTTATTCATTTTTTTTTCCAACGTTTTTTTAAATTTATTTTTGGGACAGAGAGAGACAGAGCATGAACGGGGGAGGGGCAGAGAGAGAGGGAGACACAGAATCGGAAACAGGCTCCAGGTTCTGAGCCATCAGCCCAGAGCCTGACGCGGGGCTCGAACTCACGGACCGTGAGATCGTGACCTGGCTGAAGTCGGACGCTTAACCGACTGCGCCACCCAGGCGCCCCAGATTTTATTCATTTTTAAGAGAGAGAGACAGAGTACGAGTGGGAGAGGGGCAGAGAGAGAGAGAGAGGGAGACACAGAATCTGAGCAGGCTCCAGCCTCTGAGCTGTCAGCACAGAACCTGACATGGGGCTCAAACTCACGAACGGTGAAATCATGACCTGAGCCGGTCGGAAGCTTAACCAACTGAGCCATCCAGGTGCCCCTCAAGTTAAAACAATTCTGAAGGGCAGCCCACTTGTTTCCATTTTGGGCTGTAATGAATAATACCGCTATGAACATTTATGTACAAGTCTTTGAGAAGACATATGTTTGTATTTCTTTTGGGTCGATTCCTAGAGGTGGAAATGTCAAACTGCTTTTCAAGGAGACTACCTTTACATCTCCACCATTTGTGAGGATCCCTATTTCTCTATACTCTTGCTAATGCTTGTTGTTATCTGGCTTTTTTATTACAGCTATTCTAGGGGGTATGAAGTAGTATATCATTGTTGTTTTACTTTTCATTTCCATAATAACAAAATGCTGTTGATCATCTTCTCATATGCTTATTAGTCACTTGGCAAGTATATCTTGCCAAAATATTTATTCAACATTTTGCCCATTTTATTTATTTGTTTGTTTGTTTTGGAGAGCTTGAGCAGGGAAGGGACAGAGAGTGAGGGACAAAGAGAATCTTAAGCAGGCTCCATGCCCAGGATGAAGCCTGAGGTGGGGCTCAATGTCATGACCAACTGTGAGATTATGACCTGAGCCAAAATCAAGTTGAACACTTAACACACTGAGCCACCCAGGGGGCCCCATTTTTCCCATTTTTAAAAATGTGTTGCTTATCTCCTTACTATCAAGTGTAAGAGTTCTTTACATAGTCTGGATACTTTTATTGGTAATTCACAAGTATTTTCTTAGTCTGCACCTTATCTTTCGATTTTAAAATGATGTCTTTTGAAGTGGTAAAGTTTTGAAATTTGATGAAGTCCAAATTATCAATTTTTTCATTTTATGACTTTGCCTTTTCTGTCGTCAGAAATTCTTCCTAACAAGGTCAAGAAAATTATTTCCAACATTTCTTTTACTAGTTTTTTCATGTGAGCTCTTGAATTAGGGTCTTCAATCTATTCTGAAGTAATTCCTGTGTCTGTGGAAAAGGTTGAAATTCATCTTTTTGATGTAGATGTCTAAATATCCCAGATAATTTATTGAAAAGACCATCCTTTTTCTCACTGACTTACCTTGGCACCTTACTGGAAAATAAATTGACCATAAATAAAAAGTTTGTTTCTAGAGGGATGCCTGATGGCTCAATTGGTTAAGCATGCAAATCTTCATTTTGCCTCAGGTCATGATTTCATGGTTTGTGAGTTCAAGCCCCACATCACAGCACAGAGCCTGCTTGGTATCTTGGTATTCTCTGTCTCCCTCTCCTTTTGCCCTTCCCTTGTTTGTGCTCTCGCTCTCGTCTCTCCCCCCCCCCGACTCTCATAAACAAACAAACAAACAAACAAACAAACAAACAAACATTTTTTTAAAGTTTGTTTCTGGAGGGGGAGGAGCCAAGATCATGGAACAGCATGGAAGCTTTTTGTGTGTCTCCCGTCCATGAAATACAGCCAGACCAACACTAAACCATCCTACACACCTAGAAAACTGATTGGAGGATTAACACAACAATCTGCACAACCTGAACCACAGAATTCAGCGCAGAGAGCTGAACTTGGGGAGCGAGAAGCCAAGGGAAGGGAGGTGCTTTTGCGGGCGGAGAGAGAACAGAGATGGGGGTGGGGTGGGGAGAATACAAGAAAAGCACGCTTCCCCAAAAGCAGCTGGAGAGAAAGTGGAAACTTGGAAACAGCCACAGGGACTAAACTAAAAAGGGAGAAGGAAGAAAGGAGAGGGTTTAAATTCCATTAAGACTGTAAACAAGGGGAGCGCAAAGGCTGCAACCCTGCAGCTCTATACCTGGCGGTGCTCTGGTGGGAAGGGCGAATCCCCAGGAACAGAGTGGGGTCTGGGAGGTCCTCGGGCCACACAGGGAAAAGCGGTTCCACTGCTGGAAGGACATTTGGCAGAGACTGTTGAAGCCACCTGGTTCCAGCAGACCTCAGAGGCAGCCACATTCGCTGGTGCTGGGGCAAGATCGTTGAGGGTGAAGCCTGGTGCCAGATGTGTTTTGTGATTTTCCA